AGATAGTTACTTTTTGAAGCATTGTTTATGATTACTGAACCATCATAATGGAATAAATAGATTTTACGTGCAGAGTAATGGCTTTCTATATGTTGGCAGAAATAACACAAGTTTGGGACTAACCTTCAGTGGATGGGTTCAGTTCAAGGTGGATTTTCAAGCAGTGGACTTTCAATACTGGAAACATCTCAGCTTCACAAAGATTCATAAAGGAACTGAACCTAAGTCTTGAACTCCAGTAGAGTTTTATTGTAATTGTGTATTTGTAGTGTAATTGTCAAATACAATATTGTAGTTTAATGTACGAACTTCTTGCTCATTTTCTCTCTGATACCTATTGGCTGGCCCAACTTCCTTCTCACTGCAAATTCTCTTCACCAAAGTTTCAGTATATGGGCACAGAGAATGCCAACTTCAGTTTTACTCGCATGGAGACGTATTCCCACAATGAGAACAGCTTAGGAACTGTGGGAGAGTCTTGAGTTAGGCCTGTCTATACTTTTTATGCCTATTTCTTATAGTCCTGAACAACATTTTCTCTCCTTTTTAGGTTTATCATGGCCAATTTTCTTCTTTGGGTTACTCCTCAGAATCAATACATATTACCCAACCATCACTAGTAATTATAGAGAAATACCCCCAAAAATGTTTACCCCAAAGTGACTTACTTTAGTACTAAAGTTTTTAATTGCTGCATACACTGACATAAATAATAGCTGTTCTATAAGTATTCATTTAATTAACAGCAGAAAAAAATGAATACTCAATAGTGTAATCGGTTTAAAAGGTGGTCACATGTAGGTATGATTAGATTATCATGTATGGAAAGAAAAGTAATTAAAACAATAACATTGACATTAAATTACATGTTGAGTAGAAACTTTAGATTTTAATTAGGCTTAAGCATACATGCATCCTTTTCGTATTTCTTTCCTGTTCTCATAGCCAGAACATAATTCAGTTCAACATCCCTGGCTGTGGTAACTACTAAACCGATTTGTTTCACCTCATCTTTTCTATTCAGGGCATTTTTCTAAGGGATGTTATGATGCATCTTTGGATGTAGGATGGCTGGAATCCTAATTGAAACCTGAGAGTGAATTGGATTATTTAGATTCTTTTTACTCTGTTAACATAGATATACAGTTTGCTGAGTGGCAGTTCTGTAGGTAGTGTACATGAACTCAAATTATTTTTCCTTTCTGGTGACATTAAACAAGCTATCACAAACCAATCCATTTCTTAAGAAATGTCAATCTGTTTTCCTCTTCTACAACTCAGTTTTTCAGTGCTGATGTATGTCTATCCATCTGATTTGCAGCCCTTTATTAAAAATCACCTCCAGTCAGAAACAAATGGACTATTGGTGATAGAAAATTATTTAACCCCTTTTGTTCGGGATGGTCTGATCCAGAAGATGCTTGAAAGTTCACATTTAATCTTCACATCAAGCATGTCATGACTGATGAGAGACTGGGGGTAGCAGGCAGGGGCTGGGAGCAGCTGCAGCCCCTTCAGTCTCTTGGAAACCAGATGGGTGAAATGAGGAATTCTCAGCCCAGTTGTGCTGGGAAAGCCAAACATCCGTGCTGCCTTGCTGCTGTAATCTGTCAAAGCAGGGAATTTGTGATTCTAACTGACATAAATTCAGAGATGATGAATTGGAGTCTTTTGTTTTTCTGGCATAAAAGAAAGGATGAGAGGAGAAGAGAGGGAGTGAGAACAGATTTTGATTTGTTTACACTGTAAAATACATGGATTTGGGATTTATGCTTCCCATAATAGAATGTTATGAGTGCACTGAAGGAATTTTTCCTCTAGTATTTTCCTTGTTTGGTTTGTTTGGACTGATTGCATCCGAATGACTAGGTGCTTTCTGTGGTCAGAACTGCTTCCAAATTCCTTTCTAAACTTTAATACCATTTGCTTATCAGCTCTCAAAATGGAGAAGGGTGGATTGTTACATATCACACATACTTGCTGACAATCCTTGATACTGAACCTTGCTCAGACCACCAGAACAGTCTTGCCGTATGAGGAATTCCCCGCTTTCGTATTGTTTCATAAAATTGTACGAGTTGTATTGGTTTAAATTTGCATTTGCTTGATCTCCCTTGGCAGCCCTATTGCTGACGTGCTTCCAGTTATGACTTTTCCATGTTACCCTCTCGTATTTTGTGTGTGCATTTGTTTCTTTCACAGCTGGTTTCCAGGGCAGTTTGAGTTGTGATAACAGATATGTAGTAATTCAAAACCTATATTTGAAGAGCGGGGAGAAAGCACCAGGATGTAAATACATGTTTACTAGTCAATCAGTTCAGCATAACACAGTGGAAGGTTTATATGATCAGTTTCATTAGAGGATGCCATCTCATTGATTTGGTATTCAACCAAAATGAAGCTATTTGAGTGTGGTTGGCTTTTGTATCTAGAAAGTAGCAATCACATGACAAAAGCCATAACCACAAATTTGTATTTAATTCTGCCATTCATCAGACCTTTTACATGCCTTAAGAGAAACACAAAATCTAGTGATATTGAATTGCATCTCTGTTGAAATAATACATTGAAATGCGATCATGCCACTGATGCTATTTTAACATTTTTTTAACATACGTTAATGAGTAAGAATGTTTTTTAGAAGAAACAGTGGACGTATCGAACCAGCATTACTGTAGGACTTCACCTCGCATGTAAAATCTTTTATTAAAGAGGTGTGATAATAGGTAACGTCATCACTGCTGTCATCTTGAGTGTCTTCACTATTAATTTCCTAGGATACGTTAAAAATATTATCCTTAGAATTACTATTCTTTTTTACCCTGAGGCAAGATCTTCAGTTACAGCCATGATTGTACTGCAGTTGTTGCCTACCACTATAGTAGCCTATTAAAGAAATCTTCATTATGCTATTTCACTCTTTCTCTGCTTTTCCCACTCTGGTTATGTCTTTATCTACACACTTGGCAACCTTATTTCTGAATCACGGTTGGCATTGTCAAAATGTAGATGGCTCATGATGTCCATGATCACCAACCATTTCATCAGGTTTTGGATAGGGAGCAGTTTAGCAGTCTTTGTCAATCACCAGATGAGTGTTTGCACCTAATTCTTCAAGCTGACCTTCATTTAGGAGGTTCTTTTGTTAGTTTTGATTCACGCACGCAGAATATGATTTCTCTGTTGTTTCAGTCTTTTGGGTTCCAGGGAGATGGGATTTAAGGGGAAGCTGGCTCAGTAACTGGTTGGTTGAAAGCCGTAGTTTGAGCCCATTAACCTCTATTATACCTACAGAGAGACTTTTTACACTTTTTCTCTGGCTTAAATTACACCTGTCAAATTAGATTTCAGATACCTTTGCTCTTTCCCATTGTCAATGGGACAAAGCTTTCTTTGCAGTCTGGTCTGGAAAGTTAGATGTTTAGATTTTGGTGCTGGCATGTGTTATGAGCATGTACTTTGTTTGTGCAATATTTCACCTTTCAAAGACAAGATGAAAAGTCAGTGTTTAGAATTTCTAGTCTAATATTTAACTATTATGCACCTTAATCAAAGATATAACAGAAAAGATCAATAGATTTTTGCTTCGAGTTAACTTGGAGGTCTGTGTATACAAGAAACTTGGGGAATAAAAATAATTACATTATCAAGGAAAATCACTTAGCTTATAAATTTTTAATGAAAGGCCATTAATAAAGCTACAGATCAAATTTAGTATCTTCTACACTCACTTCTGTGAAACTTTTTACAGTCCATAAATTTACTTAAGTGGTATTTAAAATGTGTCAGGGTTTTTTTTTTCAATAAGAAAATAAGTGCAGACACGTTTTTCCTCCTACAGATCTTCTGCTTAGCAAGATGAGCGTTTGATTGAAACATATTGTCTGTTCTGTGTGTATAATATAAACTATGCAGAATCTTTTGGTCAGGATTTTGCCAAAAGGCTACTCAAAAGTATATTTTAAACATGTGTCTTAGTTTTATGATTTGAACTTGAAATATGCAGCTTTTGTCAGGTTCTGCTGAGGTAGGATCATTTTCTGTACAACTCATCTTTCTGGTTGAAGAGATTTGATTATTGCAGTACTTTGGTCGTGAACAGAAAAATCATCAAGCAGCTTACTGGTGCAGAATGGAGCCGCTCTCACCTCTTGGATGATGGCAGCCCTCAAACATGTTGTGCTTTCCAAAAAGTACCTGTTTCTACTCAGTTTTGTTGCCTTTATCTGAGTCTTCTACAGCTTTGGTCTTGATTGTGTGAGAAACCAACTATCCATCCTTGTCCTCACCATGACAACTGAAATCGGATGTCATGTCCAAAATGACTTTCCCTGCTACTTTTTGTCTGGTGTGATGACAGGTTGTCCTACAGCAAAATCTTTCCTGGTTGCTCTGACAAAGCAATTACAGCCTTTCCATTAGGATGTGGTACCATGGTCAGTTTTGTCCTCAAGTGTTTACTTAAAAAAGATTGGCAAAGTAGGAAAAGACAATTTATTTGAAGGAATGCCTTATTTATTTATTTTATTTTTGAAATGGGTAAATTTCTCTTGGTAAATGGACTGAACTGCGCTAATATGCCATGAGAATAACCAAACTAAATTAATCGCAAGAGGTCAGGATCGTGCTACCAAAGCTAAGGTCAGCATTAACAGTGGAGGGTGAGAGATACCGTGTAGAAACCACCTGGAAAGGGATTTATGCAATTACAAAAAATTGTTCTCCTTCACTTGTCGCGCTCTCATGCACTTAAACAGCAGCAAAACAAGGCAAATGTATTTGGTTGTAAGTCAGGAGGAACACTTGATAAACTCAAAATCTCTCGAAGAAACATTTTAATGTTCATGCTAATGCCTGCATGGGTGGGGGAGGGATAGCGGGCAGGTCTACTGTGTAATCTTGTTATAAATGACTTTTTTAAAAAGGATAATTGATCTAAAAGCAATTATTTTAAGGAAATCGCTGCTGGCAGATAACTGACTTCTTGTCTTCCATTGCAGCTGCACTCTGAGCGTTACCCTGGAGCAGGCGATCATTCTGGCTCGAAGCCACGGGCTACCTCCTCGCTATATCATGCAAGCTACGGATGTCATGCGCAAACAGGTAAGATGCTTGCTATGGGTAAGATCTTGGTGTTTCCTAACAAGACCTGTTGTCATCAAACAAGCATGACTTGACCAAGTATTTTTTAACTACCACCTTAATGTTGTGTAATGTCTGTGTGAGTTTTCTTAGTTTGGGTATTTTGTTGAATTTTAATTCTCTTCCTTTATTGTTGACTAAAAGGTGGTGGGGTTTTTTGTTTGTTTTTGTGTGGTTTTCTTTTTGTTTGTTTGGGTTTTTTTTTAATAATGGAACAGGCTATTTTTAACCAGATGCTTGCTTTCTCTGTATGTGTAAATGGATCATAATTTTTGCAGGGTTGTGATTTTACTTGTTGTTTTTCATATAGTAACTGCTGTGGCCTCACCTTACATCAGAATAGTATGTTTAGTAAGACAATCTTTATTTTAATATATATTATCCATAAAAATAACTTAAGATTATTAACTGTTGTTAATAAAAAGTGACTCAGGTACTGACTTACTGAATGAAGGGGGAAGTGTAGGAGGGAAGGGGAGAAATAAATATCGTGGTTCTTAACTTTCCAGGCAAGATTCCCGAGGACAATGTGCTCGTTTCAAAATAGTGTTTTTCACTCTTTGGTCATAATAGAATATTAGGATTTAGGGGCTGTTGTGGATAGCTAACCACCTCAACATGAACTCTTAGTGCTAAAGTATGACAAAAAAATGCTGGATTAAAAGGTAATATCAACTGAAAATGGGGGATACGCTCTACTGTATTGGCACTACTTTTCCTAGAATATCTTGTTATCAGATAAATACTTTCAAAAGGATGTTTGGAGTCTTGGAAAGAGTTCAGAGGAGGAGCATGAATGATCCAGGGGTTGTTAGACAAGGCTTATGAAGTGAAGATTAAAGAGCTCAACCTATTCAGTTGATCAAAGAGAGGTTGAGTGGGTGCTTAATCACTCTGTGTGCATATGGAACATATATCCCAGCCTGTGGTAGCTTTCAACCTTGTGACAAAAGCATAAACAAGATACAGGATGCACTCAATCTTGAAGTGAAAAAAATATAATTAAATATTGGAACAATTAATCACAGATAAGACAAGATTCATAATTTCTGGTTTTTAGTTTGCATCTAATTTTATTATTTTCATCAATTTTGCTATGTAGTCTGTGCAGCAATCACAGTTTAGTTATGAAAATGATTAAACAGCTGTACTTCTAACTTGCTGTAGACAAAAATACACGTATGCTAGATCAAACCTTTAGTCTGTTAAAGGATTGTGTAGATATTCTCAAGCCATAGATTCTGATAAATTATATGTAAGTGCTGCTGCCTAACATGGATACATCAGAGTAATTAGCCTTATGCCTTTTCATATTGGAGTTTCACTTTATTCGGTGCTTAAATTAAGTTTCTGTGGTGAATAAATATCTTCAAGGTTCTTGAATCAGATCATGTAGGTCTGCTCAGGAATTACAGCTTTAATTTGACTTAAAAGAAAGCTACTGCTGTATAAGGATAAACTCACGTGTATCGGTTGATATGTCTGCTCCTGAAGTTCTAGACAAAAGGCAGATCTGGGTGTTTTGCATGCAAAAAACATGGATGTAGAGTTTTGCATATGTCTGCTTGCAGGATGTATTCTGTCAAAGGGTGCATTTTCAATGTACTAGACCATTTTCAAAAACGCTGATTTATTTGTGGATCTTCTGCAGTTTATTAAATGACAATGAAAAGACAAAATGAAAGTAACTTGCCTGGTTTTGAGGGGCTGTAACTGTACTTGCTGAAATAGAGATGTAGAAAGAAGCCTTCAGTGAGGCTACATTCTCTGACGTAAAACAGCAGGTGATCAATAGCTGTTAAAGATACAAATATCTCAGGACTACCCAGAGACACTGCTAGTCTGTCAAGGCAGACTCTTTTCACACATCCTTCTTATTGCAGGAAACCACTATGGCATTTAGTAGAGTCATAATCTTTTGTTGTAGTTTTAAATCAGCCTTGGAGTTCTGTAGTAGAAATATAACCCTTCATTAAATTCTAAATGTTTTGGAGTAATTTCAACAACGCACTGTGGTATTTTCTAGAAGCCCATTCTGGATTTAATGTTTAAATTATCTGTAAGATTTAACTGTCAAGAAGCATAATGCAGGCCATAAAACTTGGAAGGGGAAAAAAACCAGCTTCTTGGTGTTTGATGCAGAACATTTAGTTAAGGGCAACATTTGTGTCTTGCCTGGTTTAATATAAGAAAATCAACCAAACAAAAACTTTGTTACTCCATTTACGCTGTCAATCTTTTGTGGAATAAAGAGATTAGCCACAGGGAGGTGCAAATGAAGGGCCATCTATTCCATCTGTTACTCTGGAGAAGCCAGCAACGTTAGCTCTTAGCGGTATCAGCTTTCCACAAGGGGAAATTTTCTCTACTCAAAGCTGATACCTCTTCCAGCTTGGGGCCACCGGTACTGAATAACTGGGGACACCTGATTGAATGGATGACCTCAGGAAGTGTTGGGGTGTTTTTTCTTTTAAATTGAATGAGGTTGTGATCGTGTTTAACAACTAATAATAGCCTAGACTGTATTGTTGGAACAATTTTCAAAGTAATTCCCTGTCAGATATAATTAGGTATTTGCAAGCACCTGTTCTGTTGAGAACTGAAGAAAAGAGACCACCTTGTGAGAGTGGGTTGAGCTTGCATCTGTGGGATGGTTTTAGTTAAGTGGTTTCTGGTTTTCACCTGCTAATCCAGTCTAGATTGATTTTTAAAATAAAAATTTTGACAAAATGTCCCAACTATCTTTTAGTAACTTTATTTACTCATGTAAACACCTGTACCCACAAAACACTATGTAAAGCGTCATGGCAGGACCGTGTCTTCAGGATGCAGCAAAGTGTGGAGAGGACAGAGGCCTAGGAGGGTTGCGGCAGGAGGGCACAGGGCTGAGGAAGGAAGGTAACTAAAAAGCTGATAAAGAAAAAAGGCTGGGAGAGAATTTGTGTTGTCTTTTAAGTGAGTAATCATTTTTCCATGCCTTTTCATGGGTATAGTAACAGCACTACATTTTGAATAGTTCTCATAAGAATTGTACTGATTTAGAGCTCTTTGAGCAGGGCATAAAGAGAATCTGTTTTCTTTATGTGACTGGTTCTTGCTATCCTTAAATTAGTGCGTAACTTCAGAATAAACCTATCATTTTTTCTCATGGCAATGAGAATACTAGTTTCTATATAAGAGTTCAGACTGATGGTGATGTCTCCTAAGAGCTGCTGGCATCCTTCGCCAGTGCTCTGGCAGTATCAGTATGCAAAGGAAAGCGTTCTGGAGCCACGTAGCACAACTGTCCCTTACGCCTACATGAGATGAACAGTGTCAATATTTAAATTGCTATAGCTTTAAGAATAATATTGGAGAAGTATAAATTAACAGTATATTGAAATAGAAATGGTATAATGGGGCTCAGTGTAGACAAAGAGATGTCATGTAGCAAGTTGCTAATAATTCTTGGGGGCTTTTCCTCAAGTGAGAATTTGGTGGTTGTAAGGTTGGTCTAATTTGTTCCCCTGCTAAGCAGTAAATTACATGGTTGTATAAAGCTAGACTCCTTTTTAAATCAATGCATTTGATTTATTATGCGAGCAAGATACTAAAATTAATTTGTTTAGTGAGTGATGCAAGTAAAAATAGGCTGATTTTGTTCTCAGAGGTAGTCACAGCACTGACGTTCAGGATCTACATGTGATTAATTTAGATAGTTTCCCCATGTGTGTATGTGTGTATATATATATTCTGGCTCTCAGTTATGTTAATCACATGCCAGTCTCAGTAGTCTGTCGTGGTGGGGGTTCTTTATTATGATAAACTTTTAGAAAACGGCACTGAGGAAAGGATGCTGAAGGTGATGAAGATCTGGACTCATCATGTCTAACTTTGTAACCCACACCGGATCAGCTATCCTTCTGTAATTTGTGACAGACCCTTGTCCTAGCTGTTCTGAAACCTCCAGTAGTGGAGAGTCCTGTACAGAGCTTCCCAAGTGGTCTGTTCCAGAGTTCTCTTAACCTTTTCATTAGGATGCTTTACTCAGTGCCTCATTTGAGGTTTGGTTTGTTTTTTTTTTTTAAATCCCTTCAATTTAAGTCTTCTGTTTCCTGTCCAGTATACTGTAGCCTTAGAGACTACATTTTACTCTCTTTTAGCAGCAGACTTAGTATTTTGAAGGTTTCCAGAGATGGGGCATCTACTATCTGTCTAGGCAACCTGTTTGGTGTTTCACCACCTTCATTATAAAGTATTTCCTCCTTCTATCTAGTCTGAATCTACCTTCTGCACTGCTTTAACTTGTTCCCCACCTTAGAAGAGGAGAGTTGTTTTGGGACATGGAGCATATGTATGAATTATAATCAATAGTTATGCTCATCTAGAAAGCTCAGAAAAGTTTCTAACTTGTGTTGGAACAAATGAAGCAAAACGGTTGTTTTTCTTTCACAGGGTGCGAGAGTACAAAACACAGCCAAGAATTTAGGAGTGAGGGATCGAACGCCACAATCTGTGCCAAGGTAACTGATTGTTTGTGTACTAGGCCATGATTTTGTCCATTTTGTGCCAAATTCTCTCGTAACTGCTCAAAAGCTAACAGTAAACCTTGACTGCACTAACTGGTAAGATTTTGCTTTTAATATATATAAAATCAATTACGTTCTTAGCCATACGATTTTACTTAAAGTAATTACTTGCAGAAGTTCAGGCTACTTCAAAACGTGCCCATTTTTGAAATGAAACCTAGTTCACGTTAGCTGTAAAAACTCGGGAGTAAGTCCTTCATCACTTGTGATGTTGAGTGGTTTTGGGGAAATATTCATAACTAAATCCATAACCCCATTTTAATGAAATACTGTACTGCAGTATCTCAGCAAAATCATGTTCTAGTTGCTTTTTAGAGATGATGTAGTCTTTCTTTGTCTCATTCTGAAACATGCATTAGAATGAAAAATGTGACTGTTCTGTATTTATCCAGCTTTTTAAGGCTGTGATGGATTGCAGATACCTGAAATGTTTCTTAACAAGCACAATAATTATGAATGGAAATAACCATACAACAATGTTCTTAATTGTATCTTAAAGTTGTTTTAGTAATCCTCTAATTTAAACTTTTTTTTTTCCCAATTTAAAACATAATGTTTTTTATTGACTAATGATAACACATTGAATGAGCTAAACAGATAGGTGGAATATGTATCAGGCTCACTGTGGTGTTTAAATTTCAGTGAGGAAACAGGGAATACCTGATAGAGGTAACCATGTGGATGAACACATATGCTATCTATAGCCTCACAGAAAGACTAACTTCAGGGTTCTGACCACTTCGGAATTTTTTCTTAAGCAATTTGCTCCCCTTTCCTCAGATGTCCTGGTTTCTCCCAGTAGGGAATCAGGCTACTGCTCGTAATTTTTTTGTAACAAACCAGTGCACGTTGTTCCATGCTGGTGCTTGATCTGATTTCTAGAAAAGGAGTGTACCTTAAGCGTACAAGGTATGAGTAAATCTGAGTAGCAGCATTTGTTGGAGCATATATGCATCTCACATGCCCCTTAAAGGAGATTAAATGAGATCCAACAAAAGTACTGATTCTGGAGTAAACTCATCAGCAATAAAGTCATTGTACCAGCAGATGAGGGCATCCCTTCTCATAGTAATGATTAGCTTAGAGGCAATCCAGGACCAAAATTGCCTGACTGACTGTCTTGCATTGTGGGAATCTAAGGCAGTAAAATAACATTTTATTACAGTACGACTGTCTTGCATTGTGGGAATCCCAAGGCAGTAAAATAACATTTTATTACAGTAAAAGCTGTGAGAAGCCTTTTCATATTTTGAATGCTATGATTTTGGCCCTATAAATGGACTCCTCCTTGATGACATAATTCTGGAGACAGCCAAAGAATTGTTGCAAAACAAATTTTTCCCACCTCTAAGTGACAGAGCAGGTATCAAGATTCAGAGCTTTTGTGATAAAGGAAAAATCTAAGTTCTTAAAAAGAAAATTTAGCCATGAGACATCTTTTGGCTTTGCATCAGTTGAGAAAAGATCACCTCTTTCCAGTTGACACTCCCACAACATAGCAATGAAAAGCTGAAGAAAAATTATGAGGTAGCTCCTAGAATGTAGAATAGACAGATGCATCCAGCATGCTTGCCAGTCAGCAGCAACAGCAATGTCACAGGAATATCTCATTGACCTGAGTGTTTGGGGCATTTGGTGTCCCGTTGGAGAGGTAAGTCACGTAAGTCAGAATAGTCATCAGCCGGAGTGATACTTTTGATGTATAGGTAAACGATACTGGGAGTTCTCAATTGTTTGCCTTGAAAAGAATTTTACCGTTACATTTGTTTCCATTTAACATCGCTTGACAGTGTTCTCAGTTCTCTGCAGTTGCCACCGTTTTCTGTCTTCTCTCAGCTGCTCTGTTTGTACCGTCTCAAACAGTTGTTCCATATAGATTGACCCAGAACAGGCTGTTTCTGCTCTGTACCGTCCTCAGCAGCTATAGCTCCTTAGGGATTTATGCAGCCTTGTTGTTAGTTTTTTTCAGAATTCCTCTACATCACTTGCTCTGAAGACAAGTATTCTTAATGATTACCATTTTAACCTGAAGAATACACAGACCTTGGTGCTTGGGGCTGAGCTTTTCTGCACATTGTTCCATAGAAATTAGATTTTGCTAAAATGTCATCAAGAACTAACCCCACTGCAATTACTTAGATGAGATTCTGACAGTAATTTTATCTGTCTTTTGTCAGCTTTGAATGTTACTGCTTTATTACACCAGCAGAATCAAATAACTCAAATAACCCCTGTTTATTTTTCTCTGCATACTTGTCTGTATAAAGATCAGGCCATCTTATTCTCTTATTGGTATACTAATATGAGATATATGTGTATTGGCTTATATATGGCTCCTAACAAATACACTGGTGTCTGCACAACGTGATCTTAAATGATCACATCTCTGAATCTGCCAGAGGACAGTGTGGAAGCACCTAATGATCTTCAGAATCACATTATGGTGGAGGTTTGAAAGCAGGTTTGCAATTGCCGTTTGGCTGATAGAACTGATGCCCCCCATTCTTACCATCCAGAAACAGTACTGCTTGATAATCACTGCCAGCGAGATTCAGAGAAAATTGGGTGTTGCCAGTGTCCCATGGGTTTTAACTCCTAAGGGAACTGAACTCGGAGAACAGCAGCTATCCTGCCCTGCTCTTGCGTAGCCACAGGATACTTTTTGTGACATGATGTGCCTAGATGTTGAATAGGCTTTCAGTACTCACGGCAGCAGCCATGCATCCCGTGCCTCGCATAATTTCAGTAGCAGAGTGTCATGCCAAGAAAGCACCAACCCGTGGATCTTGAATTGTTTGTGGAGCCCGGCCACATGTACAGATTTTTGTTCTCTGTGTTAATTTGTAGTATGATTTTGAAATTTATGATTAGTTAAAATGAGGTCATATAAATTAATGTGACAATTAGGAGGCAAACTTGTGAAATATACTTGGAAAGCTCAGATACGCTGAGCATCTTAAATATGCCTAGCCTGCAAGCCACTGGAGGATTCACCACCCTGCCTGTAGCCAGACCTGCCAAACCTGCTATTTCTTTTCCTTTGGTATTTCAATATCAGAGATTCTTCATGTTAAGTATTAATGCACATGCTGTGCCATCATCTCTTCATTTTTGACTTCTGATGCTTTTTCTCCTTCCCGTGCCATACTTGGTCTCTTCTCTTTGCTATTCCTTCAATGATACGCTTTCCCTGAGGAAAATAATGTAATCTCCAAATGACATCATGTCTATTGCTGGTTCTAACTGCTGCGGTTGCAGGACAGATACTGTATGCTGGACATACAGAACAGAGAGCCCGAGGTCGGGATGCTTGCCCTTTATTTTCAGTATTCCTAACATTAGGGTAAAGTTTCAAACACTTGCTAATAACCAAGACCATGCAAAAGGGTTTAACAGAAGTTCAAAAGCCTTTATAAATGAAGGAGTGACTATTTCAGTCTGTGCTGGGGTAGTCGTTTGCACCAAATCTTACTGGTCTTGACTTCATATGTGTAGAAACAGAGGGGAAAAAGTTTAAAATCTTCATGCTGGCATGTCACATGCCTGATATCTGTCTTAGGTTCTTGAAACAGCATCGGTTTTATAGGGGACTGTGTTCGAGTGAGGTCTGACTGGGCCAAAAGAAACCAAAAATGGAGGCAACTGCATTCGCCAGACAGCTTTTCCAATTTAGAAGTTATTCAGAGCAACAACTGGTGATTGGATTAGTGGAGACTTAGCTTTCTCCAGAATGGGGTCTTCAGTGCAGAAATACGAAAACTTGGCTGAACTGGAATGTCTGTGTAAGATTGCTTTATGGATGTGTGGTTTAATGATACCACTTTCAGTGTAAACATTCATGCTCATGAGTAAGATTTTACTGCGTTTATATCAATGTTATTAAACTGAATTCAGTCCCTCTTGCCTTGCAGTGCAGGAAGACTTCACCTTAGTTTGTATTCCTTAAATTTGTACATTTTAATAATGACCAAGCTCTCAGAATAACAATTACTTTGTTTTTTGTCATTGTCAGGTTGTACAAGCTATGCCAGCCACCACCACCTGTTGGAGAAGAATGAGGAGAACTGCTCCAGAAAATAATCCAATAATGGCCTTTAGGATACTGGGACTATATGACAAAATCTAACTGCGCTATAGCAGTATGTGCCTGGGGCTTTGATAAACAAACAAACCCCTTTACTCAGGATAAAGAAAGAAATACCCTAAACATTCTCTATTGGCATTGAAAAATGACTTCCAAAAAGCATTTCTGGAATCTGTGCACTCTGGCCTGACACCAGAAGGACAGGAATCTTCCTTGAGAATTTTACACTGGATTCAGATTCATTTGACGTGTCTTGTTCAGCCACACAATAGGTATAGCCAGCAGCTTGAAAACAAATGTCTCGTTCAGAGAGAATGACTTCACTTGTCCATTACACAGAATGCATTCTTGTGGAGGGAATAAAAGCCTAGATAAACAAGGCTTGATAATGAGCGTGCACTTCATATGGGGCCCTTTGCACTGATAATCCCTTTTTTCCTGTCGCCATCATAATTTCTCAGAATGACCACATTGCTGTTTCAAGGATATAATGTAAGTGAGGTTTAAAGATGGAAAACTCATCTCGGAATTGTGTTTAATGGCTGCTGCTATGGATGTGTGCTTGTAATCAGTAAGCTCAGCCGTGTCTTAAGCAGTTCGTTGTCATACTCCTCTAGAAGGAAAGCCTACAAGAAAGGTGGGAAGGGGCTTTTTACAAGGGCATGTAGTGATAGGACAAGGGGCAATGGCTTTAAACTGGAAGAGGGAAGATTTAAATTGGAGATGAGGAAGAAATTCTTCCCAGTGAGGGTGGTGAGGCACTGGCAGAGGTTGCCCAGGGAAGCTGCCGATGCCCCATCCCTGGGAGTGTTGAAGGCCAGGTTGGATGGGGCTGTGAGCAACCTGGTCTGGTGGAAGGTGTCCCTGCCCATGGCAGGGGATTGGAACGAGATGAGCTTTAAGGTCCCTTCCGACCAAACTATTCTGTGATTCTATATGGTGTATGAGGTGAAGTTTTGGCCCTTTTCAGTCGCCGTTATAATGAAGGAGAAGAAGGGTAAGTCTGATCTTCATCCATAGTTAGACTGAATTTCAGACTCTGTCTAATGGATGTTTTACATGATTGTGCTCCTGCATTTCAGAGTTTTCCAGAGTTGTGTATATTCTTGTACAGTACTATACTAGCAAATCCACGTAAGGCGAGGACGAGGCAGTATTGTCGTGTGTTTAACTGGAAATGTCTGTGGTTTAAGTTGACGTGTAGTTTGGGGAGTTGATGTTTTATGCTACCATTTCCCGTATTTTGTCAGAATTGTTTTGTATAGCGTTTCAGTTTTTTGGAGTGGTAATTGTTATAGATTTATTTTGAAATTGTACTGAGTATTTAGAGGGCCCAGGGAAAATGTATCTGCATTTGGCTGTTCTTTTGGCCAAAGAATTTTCAGAGAAGATGCCCCCAAATGAGTTTTCGTATGTGAACACATTAAAACAAAAATATATTCTGACATCGTTTTGTTTGTAGCAATAGCTACGCATTCTATTAGAGCAGGACATACACTGTGTGAATAAGATTTATTTTTTTGTACAACAGCTGCCTATAGTTGTGCTGTAGCAATCAAACCTCACAACATAATTGTTGCATATTATCTAATTATTTATGAAATCTTCAACAAATATGTTAATCCACAATGAAATAAGTGAGAATTCAAAATGAGGTGTACTCTTGCAGAGAGTGTTTTCTATATAGGATATCTAGGGAACTTGTTACTTTTCTCCAAAGGAGGAATTAGAGCTCCTACATTTTTCAGTATTCTTAATGTTTTTACACAGACTTTAACTTTGCTAAGAAAATAAATATTTTTATATATCCACAGATATGTATGTCTGCGCATATATGTGAGTTTCAATATGTATATATTTATGTAGTCATATCAATTACTGGTCCAACCTTAAATATAGAATGTTTGCCTTAAACTGTGACAAAGACATGCAATAGCGAACACTTCAGTAACAATTTTGCCTTTGTGCTCAGAAGTTTACACTCTCTCATAGTTACTGGAAGCTGTGGGACTATAATATTTTTGATTAAAAAACAAAACAAAACAACAAACCAACCAGAAAACAAAGTTTTAGTCTTTAGAAACTTACTTTTTTTTTTGTCTGGGATGACCTAATGCTTGTACATAAGAAAGAGTCACGATTCCTGTAGTTGTTATTCTAGTCAGGATCTCCTACGTTGGGTTGCGTTGTTCAGAGAGGCAGTATGGGTTAGGGTAATTCCCGCTCCAGGCAAAAACGCCAGAAATGTTTCAGCTTCTGCTTGTTCAGGCATCAGGAATACAGAGAAGCCATAACCTCCTCATGCCAAGGATGGTGCCGGTGTCAGCCCCGGCAGCGAGTTCGCATCTTCCTGGGAGATTTGCCCACATGATTTTTAGTTTTTTACTACGAGGCAAGTCAGCCGTCAGCTGCATGGAGCTGCTAATCCTGTGTAATGTAAACTAACCTAGAAGACAAAATCTGGTGCGTGCACACACGTTATTGTAACTAGTCATCGCTTTTTTTTATTATTATTGCATTGAAAATGGTAGGAGTGCAAATGTCCCAAAATAGTCTCCCTATATAATATAGTAATTGTCTAATTTGTTTTGTTGTTGAAAGTATGGGCTAATAGACCTTTGTAAAGACCGAGGGACAGACAGTTATGAGCCAGTCGCTGCACTAAATTCTTTAGCTATTATTTCATGAGTGTGCATCAGAAATCCTGACCTCTTGTTTCGGTATCTAATTTTTGGTTCTTTATTCTCCCCCTGCCATAGAGGCAGTTTTCAGAAACTTACTCAGCACTGTGAGCTTCATTGGTGACCCATACTGCAAAATAAAGTATCTATTTAGCCTGGTATCAAAGGGGCTGAGAAACTTGTTTCTCAAAACCAAAAATGTCCTGGTTTTCTGGGATTATAGGTAGCATGTAAAGATATGCCCCATTTCCTCTGGAAATCCTAAATTTTCCTCTGGAAATCCTAAATCTTCCACTGACTGTCTATGGAAAGCAGGTGCCTAATTTCTCAAAATTTCCTTCAAGAGCCAGTGTTTGCTTGAAACATTGTGCAGTTTTCAGACTGCTTTCCTTGTCCCTCTGTTTCCAGAGCACACTGCACATTCTAACACATCTGGCTTCTAATAACATTAGATGGACCTTTAAGAAGCCAGTAAATATACTTATGTTCATTATTAAAGCTATTTATCTTGTTTGGTATGTGTAGAGGATGTCTTTGTTCCTTGTGCAAGGTGCACTTGCAGAGTAAAAAAAAAAAAAATCCATTCCCATCACAGTATGTTTATCCTCCCATAAATTTTTAGACTTCAGGTGACAAGAAGAGGTGACCAAGAGTGATGATTTACAAGAACCGTAACACCCATAGCCTGTTAAATCTTTGCTTCTGCAGCAACAGATTATACAGCCCGTTTTTATGACAATGTGTTGTACTGGTTTAGGGAAAGCATTCTGTATGTAATTTTTTATTTTTCCATCCAAGACAAGTGTAATTCTTCTGGGAATAAATTCAAGGATCTAGAGACACGTGTTATCAAATACTGAGTGCCATGATTCAGTGGTAGTCTGTGGGGCACGTGTAGGAGATACAACACCTGGGAAGGGAGGGTTAAGGGCCAAGGAGCAGCTAAGTTGCCCGAGGGTTCATGCTTGGAGAAAACTTAGGTTTTGATTTTAAGGTAGAGCTCGTGACCTTTGGCCTATCTTTTTACCCATCATCTGTGAATAACAGGATGCTAAACAGTCTTTATGAAATGAGCATTGATCCAGTCTAGTTCCCCATATTAGGTGTTGCATAACACTTATTTTCCTTGTGGATTGTAAATGTAAATGAATACAAAAATGTATCTATTCCAGTTTCTCAATGTCAAACATTTTTGTGTTTAGGGATCCATTGTAAAGTAAATATTCCTACTGTCAGCTGAACCAACCAATTTTACGTCCACTGAGAGCGCTGCAATCTTTAGTGGCTTTTTTAGGTAGTTTTTACTGGGTTTTAGCAAATGCATCCAGTTTTCGGGTTGTTTTTTATTTGTTTGTTTTAGTGCAGTCAGTAGTGGTCAGAACTGCTCTTCTACTGTTCTAGAGCCAAAACAATTAAGTTCAGTTGACGAGGATTTATAGTAAGCGTACTTCATTTCATGTGTTAGAATCCCCTAATGGAAAAAAATGAACCAGTTTTATTGATCTGTTTTTACCCAGAGAGATTCACAAGCAAACAACGGTGATTTATTTTTTTTGTTTGTTTTACTAATTCATTGTCAGATGTAGAGAGTGTGTGTGTGTGTATATATATATAAAAAAGACAATTGCCTGAATGTGAGTATGCACATCGTGGTTAAGCATGATGCTCAAAAAAGAAAAGTAACTTTCATTTATGTTCATTTAAATTGTGAAATCAGTAACTGTAGTATATATACATACTCTTCCGTACTCTTTACTTTACAGCTGCTTCATGGGTATGTCTGCCAGCATTTTACGCATATTTTGCACCATTTTTGTTGAACATCCAGAAAAGAGGAGTTTCTCAAGCTAATGCATTGCCTTACGTATTTTGTCTCTGTACTTGCTTGTGGTTGACGTGCCAGAGGCAAGGGATGCCTGCAGCTTTTCTAACTGTACTCCAGCACTAACACTGGCATTGGTAAATTAGATGTACAGTACATACCTGTCTCAGGATACCTGGATTTTTCATCATTAGGGTTTGAAGTATAAAAAGATACTGAACTCTGATTTTTTTTGTATGCTGACAATTGTGTAGGTGGTTTTTTATATACTGTATATATCAATCAATTTTTCCTAAAGAAAATGTATTATTAGGAATGTTTCCCTTTTCCTGCTAGAAGACGTGCGTTTATGTTTTCTTGTTATGCATGTGTAAATGAATATACAGCATGCACTGTCATGCAGCTGTTAACACTGACAAGCAAGTTCAGATTGTCCAGAGGCCAATCAAGTAGTCATTTCTTACGTTCTCC